CCCCAAAACCCCAAAACCCCAAAACCCCTCAGTTGTTATTAATTATTGAAAATTGCCACGATGAAGTTTTCCAATATCGTTAGATATCCCAATGGCGGGCTGAAGTAAGTGTATTAAAATCTACCTCGCCCTCAAAACAACTTTTAACCTAAAGCTAAAGCCTAAATTTCCTCTGAAAACATCGATTAAACTCCCCAAAGTAGACAATAACCCCATGTGTCTTACTACAATATCTAAAATCTATTTCACATTTAGAGTCAACATTCCTTTTTACAATTTCTATTTAGAGAACTCTCTCAGTCAAATTACAAAGATTACCAAGCTGATAAGACTCAGTACACTCCAGCTAATATTTTAGTTACCTCAGCACTAAGAAGTTAGGCTATTCCGGCTTGAAATGAAGGTAAGCGTTCACTGTGCACAAGCTGAACTCTTAAATCTAGAAGGAGGTCAGAAGGAGCCAAGAGCACATTACCATTTAGCTACATTGACCTGAAACAGAAGTTCAATAATATGTTTCAAAAAGTTTCTGAAACAAATTAGAAATTCTTCAGTAAGTCTTCAGATAAATTTATTCGTTTTTATTTGAATTTTACTTCCTGATTTAACTTGTAAAGAATCTATCGAACAATAAAGGAAAAAATTCGAGGTCAAAGATGTTTGATGAGATCCAACAGAAGTTGAAAGGGAAGAGAAGGCTAAGTGTGATCAGCCTAGAGCCTTCTACAAATATTCAAGGGGATAAGAAATCAGAATCAAAGAAAGGTCGTAGAGATGTCACTAAGGTGAAATTTAGAGGGTCTTCCTCAGTTCAAGATAAAAGCGGTAGAGACCTTAAATTTCTTAGTTTTAGAAGCTTTAGGTAATAAACATCAATCTAGTGGAGGATTTGTTTATAAAAGTGCTAAATAAAGTTCCATTCTTCACTCCAAGAAATTTGAGCCAGGACAGAATATCTGTGGTTGACATAAACAAACTCCCAGAAATCAAATTGCCTCAAAAATCAACTAGAACTTGCCAACATTCTTTAATAGAAGTTGAGGATGAGCCAGCTGCTGGAATGCCAAGTAATAAAATTGAATAAAAATGAGTTTACATTTCTATAGAAGAGAAACAGACTCGGCTTCACTTAATTTTGCTTAAATTTAAAGGTAAATTTCTGAAATATCTATAGAGGACCTCAAAGAAAACTCTGAAACAGAGTTTCCACCCGAATTACAGTTAATGATGGTATTTTTATTTATAATTTGTAGCATGATCCTCTAATTCAGAAATTCATTGAAATTGAGATCATTAATCCACCTGAAAAATCTCAAACAATCCCAGAAAAGACCAGATTCAGTAGAACAATTCCAGTTAAATTGACCAGACAGACAATCAGTGATGTTCACGAGCAAGAATCTACAGAAATATTAACCCAAAATACCTCAAACCTCAGATTTCCATACAAGACCCGAACCCACCCCCACTCAAAACCCAATTCAAACCCCAAAATCCTTCACAAAGCTACTCTAAACCCCAAACCTCACCAAAACAACATTCACAAAAAATCCGCAAAACCTCTCCCAAAACCCAGTTCCAATCCCTCCCAGGTATCTTCCACCACCAAAAAAACTCTGATCAATACTCCCAATATACTACCAATAAGGGATACCAGAATAATTGATTTTAGAATCAACCAAATTGATTAAAAGATCACTGACAAGATATGTTAGGCCTATCCGGAGGAAACATCGCTGCATGACATAAAGCCCGTAAGTCGTTTCTTCTCTCCCTCCCAAGCAGGTCGCAGCATTAAATTATTCTCATTACAGTAAGAAAGTCATCTATGACTTCACTTTCCATAAATGAATAAATCAAATACTCCACTCTTCAGTTCTTCCCTAATAACCTCTACTCCTGAGTGTACCACATCTTCCTCTTACTTCTTGCTACTCCAAACAAACCTACTCTACTAAAATCATAGTCATCGTAGTATCACCAGCCATTTCATGATTCCAAAATCTACTTCATTTTCTAAAATTACTAGACCAAAATAAAAAATACCAAGTTTTGCCACTACCTAACGCCTTATGAGTTAAGAACAAACCGCTAATAGTCTTACTAGAAGCCGGGACTGATGTCAGGCAGGAGATTATAGTAAGCAAGTAGTGAAGACTTAAAGTGAGAAAAATCAGCAAAAGCCATATTTCCAAAAAGCCTTATGTTCCAGGTCTCCTTATAAGCCAAGGAGAAATTGAAAATAAGAGCAAGGATGAAAAGAAAGAGCTGGTAAAGAAAAATTTAAGTGGGAAAGGAGATATTGAGGTAATAAAGATAAATGAGGTACTCACATGTACATCAAAAATCCTTCTTCTCGCTTATCCCAATTACGTCCTCTTCCTCCTGCATATATTAGAATTTTCCGAAGAGAGGCGTAAAAAGGAAACTTGGAATCTACGAGAGAGGATTTTAGGAAATTTAGTTTGCAGGCGGGGCTTTGAGTATGGAATAACTGGAGTGGAGGTTTAGAGAAGGGTATTAGAGTGGTTCTTGGAAGAAATGAGAGATTATATGGGATATTAGCATTGGGGAGGGTTATATGGAGTGGAATAGGAGAGAGTTAGGAGAGTAGATGAATAGGACAATTGATTTAACTAGATTTCATAATATTTACCAATATAAAGCTAATTCTACAATAAAAAAACTATAAATCACCAAAATAAATAAAATCTTTCAAACTACCAACCCCTTATTTCCCACTCCTTCATAGAAACACCATCCGCTTCCCTCAAGCCCACCACACAAGCCTAATCCTTCACGACCAAAAGAGCCACAACCAAAATTAGCAGAAAGAAAAATTACCGAACTGACCAAGCACGAAGAACCAAAAGCTGCAAATGACAAGAAGGATTTAGGAGTAGGAGTGAACTTTTATAACTGCAATACCAAAGTTTAAAATATCAAAAATATTTACAATCCTTCTAGCCAGGAGATGTCAAATAAAGAGCAAAACTTAGATAAAAATTTGTTGTCACCAAATGCTGATCTTAACTTTAACAAGGTAAATTTGTCGCAACCACGCAGATTAATTATCAAGATTTTTAAGCAATTTCACATTATTTATTAATGATTTTATCTAATGAAGCATCGACAGAAAATCCTGAGTTATCATAATGTAACTAACTTTTATTTTATCAGAACTTCTCCTCGCACTCTTCTCTATCTTCTCTTGCAGAAGCCACAGAGTTCCGATCTGCTGCCTCCACAAGCAACTTAAGAGAGATTCCAAATGGTAAAGATAGAAGATTCAACTCTCCAAGGAGAATAAAATAAGCCAACTTTAAAAAGTATTCTCTTGCTTCAATATTTAGGTGTCAGAAAGGAGGATCCCAAACAGTAATTCTAAGTAATGATCTTATTTAGAAGATCAGATAAACCATCTGAAAGCAAGAGGCCCAAGGAGCTAGACTTGGAAAGAATTGATTACAAAAATATTGATCCATTAAGTCCTAATCTTAGTGTGACTATTGTGACGCCAAAGACGTCTAAAAATAAGCCCATGAAAACCCTTTCTTCTTTTGTAAGAACACTGTTATAATCTGAGTTATATCAATATTTAGACCAAATAAATCGAAAGGTAAAAGATCCAGAAAAACAACAACTCCATCGTTAAAAAGAATTGAGAAAGAAATGGAGAGCATCAAAGAAGCTAGAGAGTCTAGTCCTGATAGGACAGAAGCATTGAAAGAGATCAAGTTTGAGCTGACTCAAGGAGAGCCCACTCCTAAGAAAAGAAAAATCTCCCTTGAAAACTTAGAAGTGAAACTTATAGAACCCAAACCAAAATGCAAAAGTATGATCGACCATGCATCAGAAAACTCAAAACAAAGTGAGCTTTCAGGAAACAGAGTAACCTTATGAGTAATTCATATAGACAGAAGTGGACAAGGTTTGACCTGCCTTTGGGCAAAAAGACAAAACTAGAAGACTGTCTAACACTAAAGCTCTGGCATTGGAGAAGCTTGTCAAGAACTTTAACAAGACTACCAAGTCTAAAGATTATGATTCCATCATTGACGCAAGAAAGAAGCAGAGATTGTCCCATATTAAGAAGAAGATTGAGCCACAGAAGGATAATAACATAGTATTTCTCCTATGAATTTCTTTAGGAAAGCATCATGGACACATTCAAGTTAAAAGAAGATGAACGGCTCAGAAAAATGACTTGGAACCAACAAAAATAAAGTAAGCCATGTGTTTGACAATAGGTTCTGGATATTATATATAAAAGGTTCATGGTGAGGGATAATTCTCTAAAGCATATGGAAATGTACCTCAGAATCTGCTACATCATTGAGAAGGTTGGCTTTGCCAACTTACAAAAGTGAGAGAATCTCCTACTTGATGTTGATAATAAGTATGACCAGATTGTATTATGGATCAATAAAGTTGAGAGAATTTACTTCCTTGAAGGATTCCTGAAGGAGCAATAAAAACTAAAATTAAGAAATCTAAAAAGATAATGCAAGTGAATATCTTTGAATTATGTAATATGATGCAAAGAAAGATTGAACTACTCAAGGATATCGATAAGGAAACTCATATAAAAGCCTATGAATTCATATTAAAAATGGTGAGAATTAGACTTGCAAAAGATGAAGAAAATAAATATCATAATAATGAAGTGAAACAAAAAGACATCAAAAATTTTATTGATATGAAGAAGATCTTAAAATGATTAAATTTACAAGACATTGATAAGGCCAAGCCGAAGTCCCCAAAGATGAGACTTAGCTCAAAAGAGAGTTCAAGATCACCACAGAAAACCCAAAGAAGGACTCAATCAGTCCCTTTCTTCGAGGAAGAACAAGAAGATGAATCTAGTTCAGGATTATTAGTTGATAAATTTGACTCTATTGAGGATCTAAATAATTATTATATGAATATGAAACGTGCCTTAACTGTTAAAGAATTTAAGCAATCACTTGAGAAAATCCATAAGATCCAAGAAAATATTCCCAAAAAGGATCCCCTTGAAAACGACAGACTGATAGTCATAGATTCTACTACAAAATCAAAATCACAGCAACTCCCAATGACAAAAAGCCACCCTAATAGTAAATTCCAATTCCAACCTCTCAAAACTTATTATTTCTACTCAATTCCTCCTCAAAACTCAATTTTTTACAATTTTCTAAAAACTCACTCTTTAGCCTCAAAATCCATATCTCAACCCCTTCCAAACCCTTCTAATGCCGAATCCCCCAGCCCAGTCAAGAAGCAATACAAGTTAAACCTTGATATGCTATCTAAACGGTGAGTTTTGCCTTTGTTACTACAATCCCAATTCTTTCCAATCTAGCTTGACTTTCTTTGAGTTGAGATTTAGGAGTAGAGTAGGATAGAGAGTTTTTGGGGGATATTTGGTTCTAACAATCCTCTAGAAGGAGCATGCCCAGCTGGCAGATCCAAGAACGAGCACTTTCCATGATGTACACTCTCCACAAAGGTAATCCATTCCTTCCTTAAAAACTATGACTTTACTGCCCTCTAAAATCTTTCCAGTGGAGGTTGGCCAAGTAGTGATGAATTATAGCGGCTTCGAAGGGAAGAGGAGGTGCATTTCCAAGGTGGAAATAGAGGAGGTAAGCAAGGAATAATGGAATATCAAAGACAGAACATGTATCAGTTTTTTCTCCTGATTTGATATGTTATTAATTCTTTCTTAATTCCATAAAATAATAATACTAGGGGTTTTGGGGTTTTGGGGTTTTGGGG